TCCTTTTTTAGTTTTTACAGTTAATGTCACAGCTGAGAGCAGCACTGAGGCCTTTCACTTATTTCAGGTATTTTAAAATAATAGAATAATAATTAAAATGAAGATGGTGACCAGATGCAGTCAGATTTGTCATCGTAATATTCAGGGTTAGATCCACGTGTTGATTTGTGTCAGAGCAGGAAACAAACTGTCAGTTCAGCTCAATAAATAAACTGTGACGACCTTTGAGTTTGTGTCCAGAGTTCAGCGCCGCGCTGAGCTCGCTGATTTCCTGTTTCCTGTCAACAGTCCTCAACTTCCTTCATCCATCAGGAGGAAACGCATCAACAAATATTTACCTCAAAAGATTCTTATCTGGTTCAGATGCTCGGGAACTTTACTGACATTGACTCATTTGAATCCAGTTTGTTTTGAGGGGATTTGAACTTGAAACTGAAGAATGGAATGATTTATAATCGTCTTTGGTTCAGTCACTGAATCCGTCTTGTGTTGAATCTGGTCACAGCGACACGGAGCCTTGTTGTGTAGATCCATGAACTTTACCCTCAGTGGTTGTGTGCAGATGATAAAAACACACAAATAAATGTCCAGACTTTGTAACGTCACAAGTCCTCATCCATCCATTATCTGCACCGCCGCTTATACTCACAGTTGAGAGATAAAGCAAATTCCAGAGAGGTGGAGTTTACTCTGGACTATCACCAGATGATCACAGGGACAGTTTAGTCTGATAAATAAAATACAAACCCTCCGAGGTCGGGAAAGTTCAGTTTCACATCTTCAGAGAACAAATTCAAACGTTTTAGAAACATGAGATAAAACTGTTTGTGTTTCCTCCAGGACGTCATCGCTGGTGTCCTGTACAGTGTCCTGATCCTGCTCATCTTCCTCCCAGTCCTGGACCTGATCGACGGCTTCAACCTGACCTGCCGCTACGCGCCGCTCATCATCATCTCCCTCCACCTGGGCCTGGGCCTCTTCTCCTTCACCCTGGACACCTGGAGCACCTCGCGGGGCGACACCGCTCAGATCCTGGGCACGGGGGCCGGCGTGGCCCTGGCCTCCCACGTCAACCACTACCTGGGCCTGCTGCCCGACCCGACGCCGGACCAGCTCCCGTTCGTCTTTCCCGCCCTCAGTGTGGGCCTGGTCAGCGCGGCCCTGCTGCGGCTCGTCCTGGGAGTCCTGGTGCTGATGGCCACGCGGGCGCTGATGAAGACCATTACCATCCCGCTGGTGTGCTGGGCGTGCGGCGTGCCCAGCGGCGACGTGAGGAAGGCCAGGCAGCACATGGAGGTGGAGCTGCCCTACCGATACATCGTGTACGGGGCGGTGGGCTTCAACGTGCTCTTCCTGGTCCCGCTGCTCTTCAGCTACATGCAGCTCTCCTGACTGGACGTCCCCTCACTTCATGGTCAGTCGTTCAAACGGTGAAGTGACGCTGCAGAACCTGACCCGCTGCTGTTGTCAGATCAGTTTAGCTGCTTCTCTTTGTCTAAAACCACTTCCTGTTCCCGAGGCAGCTGCGTCCAGGCCAGAGAAGAAGAATTAAAGCCTCAGCTGCCATTTTTATCAGTGTCACAGTTTTCCCTCCTGTTGGCTCGGAGTCACTTTCAGAACGGACCCAACAGGAGCAGCTGTTTGCTCCTAACAGCGTCCCAGTGTTCGTCCTGATGAACAGGAAGTTCAGCAACTTTAACCTTGACCACCTCCACCCACGTCGACTGATCTCTCTGTGCTCTTCTTTAGATTTATTTAAAATCAAACGGCTCCGGTCTGAACCGAGGAGACGCTGCGACGTCAGAAGCTGAACTTCCACTCCTCCTCCTCCTCCTCCTCCTCCTGCTTTACTCTTTTTGAAAAAAACAAAACAAAAATAACTTTTTCACAGTGGCCTCTTAAAGATGGAAAATGCCACAGATTGCTACTGACAGACGACCTGTGTCTATTTACTTTTTTTACTAATGATTAATGATAATCAGGCTCAGACAGAGAACCAGGTGAGAAGACGTTCACCTGGTGGAGCAGTTTTCAGCTCACGATTATTTCCATCAACATTAATCTGCTGATTTTCTTTTCAGTTCATTTTAATGTTTTTTAA